CCCCCCCCCCCCCAAAAAAAAGACCCTACACCTTCAGGAAAACGCTAGGAAGAAAAAAAAATCATGAGCTTTACAGACAGAGCAGAAAACCTGGTTGAACCATCTGGTGCCGTGGCTCAAGGATTGATCCATCGCCACTCTGAATACCCAGAAGCAAAAATAGGAATTTAAAAGTATCTTCCTGCTCACATCCCCTTATGATAAAGCATATTCCAGCGAAACTGGAAGGCACCTCATTGGAGAAACCCTGGTGTAAACCAGGCCTGATTTAACACTGGGCTGTGTGTACAAAAGCCATGCTACAAAAGATCTGGGAGTGTGTGCAAACACACAAGGAATGCTGTTTCTTCAACTGGGATAAAATGAGAAAAAATGTTTACCTTTTGGTCGATCTCCCTTTTTATGGCAAGCCACTGGGCTGGCTTTCCAGGATATCTCATCCATCTTTTTTCGAAAGTAAATCCAAGTCAACAGCAAGGAGAAGAGCAGAATGCAGAGAGAGAGACCCAGGACCATGTAGAGAATCATCTGTTGGTCGTACGTGGCCTCCAGTTTGTGCTGAACAGGCTGGAGAGCAGCCGGTGTTGGTAAAGAGGTTGCAAGGATCTCTGAAAGTCAGATGGGGTGGAGGGAGAGAGAGGGGACTGTTGATAAATGTTCACACCACGGCCTGACCTCCTTTTGTACTGATTGTGTTGTGTGGCCTCTGGGTTTTATCTTTGGATGCAAACACAGCGGACCTATCCAGATCTAGGGGACTATGTTAGACCCTGCACTGCCTACCAAAGTGAAGGTTGGTGAAGGCACATTTGTATTTGATGCCCACCAGTAACCAGGAATTTCATGCGACTGAGCGAACAACCTGGCAAAGTTGAAACAAAGTCACTGTCAGCATGCTCAGTTTCCTTTTAAGGTGTGAAAGGGTCCTCCTGCTCCACCCCTGCCCAATGTTTCAGTTCCTGAGCACATTTGTGACCCAATCTGCACATTATGGAGCGTAACGTAACTAACTAACTGGGGACATGGGAAAGGTCTGTGTGTGCCTTGTGTCCTGGGGTGGAAAACACAAGGAAGAAAATTGAACCCTCCAGATCAGCTGGCAGTTAAGGGATTCATCTTCAGCTCTTACTTCTGCAGAAAGGCATACATTCTCTGGGGTGTTGTCCACAGATTGTGGAGCATTTGATGCATTCTCTCAGGAGCTTGTCGTAGTAAGAGCCCTCTTGCTTGCTGCACTCTAAGGAGTCTAAGAAGGAGAAAAGCAGGGTTTGGGTAAAGTGAAGAGAAAAGTCAGCGTGCCTCTTTCCCCACCCACAGAACCATCCAATCTTTGGCTGGTCTACTGTTCATTGGCTATCAAATCACGTAGTCATGGAAACAGCAGCACCCTTGAGGTGGCCAATGTTGGAAGAGAGATGTGGCCCTCTCCTTTCCATCTACTGCATCCTTGAGCATCTGGGTTGTCAGGGTAGTGGAACATTTTCCACCCATTTCAAGCTGTTGGGGCAGCCTGCATCTGTCAAGTATGGCTGCTAGGCTCTTGAGATTAGCAATGCAGTGGGTATGAAAGCCAGTCCACAAAATAGTTTGGTAATCGGGGCTGTAATATAGCCCTTTGGTTATTTGGATTTCCAGTGACCCACTTTCTGCAGACTTGTGAAGGAAATAACTCTAGTACCAGCAGAGGACCGCTTCATACATTGTAGGTCCCCTGCCATTGGTATCTTGCTAAGTGTCCCTAGTTACCCAAGAGTTCTAAAGCAGGGAAGTCCTCCATGGGTTGCTGAATATCAGTTCCAATCAGCCTTAAGTCAGCATGGCTAATGGTGCATGATGCTGGAAATTGGGGTTTAGCAACATCTAACCAGCCATGAGCTGACCATCCCTGTTCTAAGGACTTGGACAGCCAGTTACCATTAGCTTAGATCAACCTCCTTGTATCTTCCAGAGACATCTGGAGGTCATTGACTTGAGGAAGGTGTCTCAGCAAAGCAGTGAGTGGCATGGTCCTCTTGCTGGAGTTGGACAACCACATCTGCAACACCTCTACTGCTACTGGAAGTTCTAACATGATTCTTTCCCCATTCCTAACATGATTCATAAACTGCTTTGGAGGGCCAAAATTGCTGAAAAAAGGGAATGCAGCTATTTCGGTAGAATGTCATAAAACATGATTTTCAGATGCTTACTGCAGACATCGGCGCATCCCTTTAATTTGAGTGGCTGGCAAGCAAACTTGCAGGACACACAGTTCCCCAGAAGCCCATCCCAGTACTGTTCCTTCGAACACTGCATGATCTGTAGAAAATGCACGTCTTAATCTGGGGAGGTCTCTAAAAACAGAAAAAAGGTTGCAGGGAGAGAAATCTCATAGAGTTTGCTACATCATAACATGATTTCTTTTTTACAGTGCGGTGTTGTGTGTGTCCAGTCCTTGTGGTGTATGACTAATGTGTTGTGCAACTGTGGTTTATTAAGTAAACCACAGCTAAACAAATGGCTTAGAGTGTGCTCCAAGATGTTCATGTCCCATGAACATGGGAAACATTGAAGATCATGGGGTAGAACTTGATTGTGGATACATCACTCCAAGGCATGGTTTGTTTCAACCGGATTTTGTTGCACAAGTCATAGTGGCCTGGGTCATCCACATTGCTACGCTGTATACCATGGTTTGAAAACTGTAATGGCTGACTTTCATATAATGACTCAACAAACTTACACCACAAGTTAAGCCGAAGCAAAGTACGCGTCGCACAGCGCAGTGTGCAACCCCACTGGGTTTGTGTTTTCTGCAAGGAGCTTTATTCTCTTGTAACATCAGCTGCTGGTGTGCACAAATAAGGTGAGCTGCATTGACCGTTAGAAAATCAAACTGCACGGACAGGCCATAGGAAGACCAACTCCGGTATCTGAAGAAGCGTGCAGCCTTTTCAGCACGCTAATCTGCAGATGGAGAGAGAGAGAGAGAGCCCAACGTTTTGCAGTGCTTAGACCGAATTGGAAGATGGAGATTGCAGGTTGAAGGGAGCAACTGCCTATAGAAATTGCAGCTGACTGCCCCCTCCCATAATTTCTAGAAACGCAAACCTTTCTGCAACTCAGACAGGTCCCTTTTTTGGGCAAAACGCCCAGGTTGCTGGCTAGGAAATATAACTGCAGATAATGATTTTTAGGTGATGTGCTAAAGATAAACAAGTCCATGAATGCCACCCACTAGCTGGAGGGAATCCAAACTTCTAAAAGTAGAAGCTCTGTATAGTAGAGAAAGACCTCTTCTAACCTTATTTTTCCGGCCCATTTATTTGATTAAAACTCTTCCCTTTCCCCTCTAAATGCTCTGCTTCGCTTCCCCAAAGGAAAGACGATTCTTCTCCAGATCGTTCCTTTCCAGGGAAGGAAAAAAGTTTGGATATGGGGTGGGGCAAGGGAGATAGCAGAAGGAAAAGGGTTAAATGCCCCCAGGTCACCTCGCCCTGTTCCGTTCTTAGCTGGAGGACACCTGCAGCTACGTTGAATGTCAAAAGAAAACACCAAGGTGGAAAAACAATTGTGGTAAGTTGAGTTTTGGAAGATGCTAGAAAATGCTGTATTTGGCCTTTTTGAAGGTTGAACTGAAGTATTTGCATTTGTTGCAGAGTTTTCCTGGAGGCACCCGACCCATCACTGTGAGAAAAAAAAGGAATATTGGGCTGAAGGGATCTGTTCATAGGAACCATGAGGACCCTTTTTCATTCCTTAGCAATTCGCTTTTTTATCAACCTGCAGGGCTCAATAGCTGAATCCCTTCAGCAGAAAAGAAAGAGACAAGACCTGCTCTGGAGGCAGATAGAAAGCCCAGAACAAGTGATAAACAATGGAGATGTGCAAATGCATTATTTATTTATTTATGTTTCTTCATTTCGGCAACCTGAGGTGCCGCATCGTGGTGCCTAGGTAAGGTTGCCAACCCCTGCTTTAAAACCCTCACTCTTAATGGGCTTTCAAAGTTTTTATGAACGAGGGCAATCTTCCACATATTTTGGGCAGGCAGCAACTCTTAAGCTTCAAAGCTTGCCTTTTCTGGGTTGTTGAATTATTTTATTTCAAGATACACAGTATAGGCTGCAAATGTCTGCCATATAAAACCAACAAAGGGAACCCCGTTTAAAATAATTTTAAACACTGTGTACCTCTAACATCTGGCCGCCCAATGTTCCAAGTTCTGAGAGGGGGAAAGAGAGACCGTCACAAGAGGGAAAGACAAGACGCCATCAATTGAGGTGCCTGGTTGGGATTTGCAGAGTTTGCTTTTTATTTTTATTTATTTGGAATCTTTATAGGACTGCCCAACTCAGACAAAGCCATCAATTAAAAAAAGAAACAGGACATGCCATTAAAAATCCCACTAAGACAAAAAAATGGCAGTCAGGTCATCAGTTGGGAACTCAGCCCGTAAACCCTTACTAGCTCTCACTCAATTTTGAAACCAAAGGAGAACAGCCAATGGCCTCTTTTTCTGGATTTATTTCAGAAGTCGTTGCTCTGTAAAGTGGCTAGAGCGGGCCCAACCCTTTGTGAGTGAATGAAAACGGAAGACTTTTTTTTTTAAAGAGGGGACAAAAATACCCCAAGTCTCTCTACCTGTGTGATAGTGGAAATTCGTAGGGTTTGGAATTTGCACACTTCCATTTCAGAAGCCCAAGTGAATTTCCCACATCCGTTTTGTTATCTTAATTTACTCTTGTAATCTGTGTCTTTGTTCTCTGCTTGACAGTTCTCTGACTTTCAAATGCCCTTGATGGTTCACCTATCGTCCTCCATTGCAGGCTAAGGAAGGGTACCGAATGCAAGAAGACAATTGACTCTGTGTGTGTGTGTGTGTGTGTGTGTGTGTGACATTTTAAGAGAGAAGGAGCATTTTCTCTGAATATTCTACCAGAGGGAGGCAAACCTTCTCAATGGCATGGACGACAAGCCAGAAAGGTCTTGAAAAGAATCTGAAAAATGTAGGCTTGTTCTAAGTCATCTGAAGATGGAGCCTATAGGAAACGGTTAGCTCTCATTCTTTACCTTATTTCTGGGGAGAGAGATTAGAGGGGGAATTTTTTTTCCCCCCATAAGAAGGAGAAAGTTTTCAATAGTGGCTCAAAGTAAGAATGGCGCCAGCAGATTAAAAAAAAAAAAAAGTAAAAAAATCTGCAGTTTCCCTCTTTTTTACCCCTCCCTAGGTGTAGGTGTTATGGAAACTTGTTTTTCTTTCAAAAGAAATGTTGATGAAGCTCATTATGGTAGATGAAGGAAGTAAGGGGATAAGAAAAGAAGCATTTATGTCATTCAGCAGGATATCCTGCCAAAGTGATTGAAAACCACTGGTGTACATGGACATCTCAGTGAGCCTCTCTAATTACTTAGCTGTCCCAAGAAATGTTCCAGTTCCTTGTACCACTGGGTTGTCTCTCCCTGAGGGTATCAGACTGTGCCACCATGCTAGGTTAGAATGGGCGCACTCCAGATCCCTTCCCTTAAAGGTTGCCACCTAGTGGGACCTAAGAGGTGTGCCTTCTCTGTAACTGACCCTGTCCTATGGAATAGCCTCCCCCCCGAGATCCAGAAGACCCCCACCCTTTTAGCCCTCTGGAAGGCCCTGAAGAGATGGCTCTTGCCCCAAACATTGGGCTATGGTGAGCATGGAGCCCAACAAATGTATGGAAGGAGTGTTGTACTGGGCTGCTGTGAGGTGCTGTTTCTTTTTAATTTTTGCGTATTATTGTTTTATGTTTATATTTTACTGTTGCTGGGAGCTGCCCAGGGTTATTATATATAAAATGGGTAGCCATATAGGTCTTTTAAATAAAAAAATGATACCATTGTAAAACACAGCCAAGCCAGAGGTGCTGCGTCCAACCCACTCCAATGATCTAAAGCACAACTCAACTCAATCCATGTATCTAGGCAACTCTTCAAAGCTCAAAACTTGCTCCAAGCTCTGGGCCTCGCAAGCCAAGACCAGCATATCATCATCTAGTGATGCTTCCATTCCAAGTGTCACCACGAAAACCATCTAGAAAGCAATTTGACCTCTGACCAGTGGGAATGGCTGCATTCCAGAAAGGGAAAGGGTGGGCCCCCAGAGAAAAAGTCAATGTGATCTTATTTTTGAATTAAAATACAGGTACTGCAACTATTCTCCATATATTTAATAATTTCCCCCTTTGGTCATATTTTAAATTACAATTTGGTACCAACTTTCATAAGCCACCTGGAGCTTGACCTTGGAGTGTCAAGCGATGCCCTTTTGACTTAAAAGAAAACAGGAATTTACTTACACTTTTCCCCCTGCTGCTGGGCTGAGCTGAACTTCTCTTTGCTGATGGTCATCTCCTTCATGTCATCTCTTTTGTGTCTCTGATCCTTACTTGTGGGGTTTATTATGAGTACTTAATTTGATTAGAGTCTCTGTGTGTGCTTCCTGGGGATTTCCCCTCACATCCTTTAGATGCAAACCAACTCAACAAAATCTGAACCAGAAGGGAGGTCCTTTTCTGAGTTTCCCCCCCAAGGGAATATCAGAAACTCCACTTCAGTCATTTTTACCTCTCTTTCTCAAGAAAAGATTATTCAGTTTGCTTTGTAAATGCCAGTAGGACATGTGTGTGGAAGTTGTCAGTCCAAACCTACCCAGAACTTTGAGAAAGGAAATTCTTCCAGGGGTGGGTCTTTTACTGTTACTCCCTTGTTTTCCCAGTGTTGTTTTTCTTGAGGTTAGACTACTCTGGAAGATTAGTGCATCACTGCCTTCAAGACCAACTTGTTAGTTCTTCAACCATGGTTGTGGCTTTGATGCTACAGGAGGCAACCTCTTTTGCTTCCAACCCAAAGATTCTAATACCATGTTGGCTCCCTCTGCACCTTCTGGATAGGGCCACCCTACCATTAGGCAAACTTAGGTGGTTACTTCTGGACACAGGGAATACTATAGGTAGCAGCAGCAAGGGGATTGGAGTGCCATTTTTATCTTTCCCAGCCCCTAGTGTAATGTGATCTCAGGGTCACTGCAGAACATTAAAGGACAGCTAGGACCACCTTCAAGTCTAGGGGCCCTTCCAGATGATCAGGAAAGCTACATTCTGGTGCCAGGTCTAATCTATAGCTTTGGCAAGCTCCAAGTTTAAATGTTTTATATTACACATTATACCACAAATAGTGGCTGTTAATTGCCTTATACTCTGACCATTGTTCTGGTCTTGGTTTTGAGTTGGTGTCCATCACCACTTTTTGTGACAGCGAATTCTGCAATTTAACAATAAGCCTAAACTTCGCCAAGCTGTCAGTTGTGTCTTCCACAATATATAACAAGGGAGAAGATATATCTTTGCTGTGATCATGATGGGCCTTGCTTACCAGCCTTCCTGTTTTCACCTCCAGTGCGTTGAAGGTATGCGCCTTGGATTTCTAGCTTGCTGTGTCAGCTACTTCAAGCTTGAATTCACCCAGGTAATGGAACACCAAAGACCCCACTTTCTGTAATGCCTATTTTTTTTAGATTTTTTTATCCTGCCATTATTATTTTTATATATAACTCAAGGTGGCGAACACACCTAATAGGCCTTCCTCCTCCTATTTTCCCCACAACACTGTGAGGTGAGTTGGGCTGAGAGAGTGACCGGCCCAAAGTCACCCATCCGGTTTTCATGCCTAAAGTGGGACTAGAACTCACTGTCTCCTGGTTTCTAGACCAACACTTTCACAATGACACCAAACAGGACAGGAATAGCATCCTGTGGCCCCACATTTCAAGTGCAGAGAAAGTTTTTAATGGAAAAACTCCTTGAATATGTCCATATTTTTCTTAGAACTTTCTTAGAAAGAGGAGCCTGGTCTTGGACTATTGAGTTGACTTCTCTTTTGCACTACATGGTTTGCGGGTGGCCTTTGGGGCAATGGATAGAAGACTCACCCTTGGGGTTATGAAACTATCATCTGTTTCTGGAGGGGCTGGAGGATTCATTTTTCTCTGTTTTTAACTTCATCACCCTGCTGGTACTTGAAACTAGCAGATTTGTTTTCAGCATTGGGGGGACATCTGGTGTTTCTCCAGGCTCTTATCAATCCACAGGTTGAGATCTGGGGCATCAAGTAACCTTTCCCAAGCTAGACTTGACTTCTCACTACCTGGCCATCATCACCAAGGCTGGGGAGAATGTGGTAGCTAAAATCCAACATACGTAGCAGGCACAGGTTGGGTGTGGCCACTGAAGCTCAGGGGTAGCAGAATTTTAGGATAGGCATGAGTTTCAGTAATGCCTCTCTTGAAATGAGTCAAGTTAATTCCTCCTGATGACAGGGAAACATATTTTAGGATAATTCCTTGGCAACAGTACAGAAATGGCTTGTTTGTTGTCTTATCCTAGAATGTTTTTTGGATTTCCTAGTCTCCTAGTCTATAGCCGTCACCCATCCAAGTTTACTAACCAAGTCAAATCCTGCATAGCTTTTTTCTAGATCAGCCATAATTGACTAGATTTGCAGCAGATACCTTCAACAACAACATTCTGCATCTGTAGACCAACTACAATTCTAAGCGAAGAAGGAGGAGGAAAACAATGTGTTGCTTTGGGAATCCTTTCATAACCTTTCACCCCATTTCCATATTTCTACATATGGAAGTTTGAAGCTTTTACCTCTTCAGTATCCATAGTTTAATAACCATAGGGGGAGGAATTCATGATGCCCTATTTTACGCAGCGTGTTCTATAATATTTTTTAAACCTGAGTTGTTAAATCCCTCCTCCCCTTTCCTTTGAAGTTATCATGAGTCATGTCGTTTTTCTGATTTATGTACCCACACAAGCTGTTCCCAATTTAAAGAAAATCTCTGCTGGTTTTGATTTAACTGGCTTCAATTTGCATGTCAAATGAAAAGTTGTTCTGAAGGACGTCTACTTTTTTGAATTTTGTTTTTGGCGACGCGTACATGTGTCAGAACCAGAATAATTTTGGAAGAGGCTTTCTCTTTTTCTGGAGAGAAATAAGAAGCCGTGCCTCTTCTAAAGGGCTGTTGCTCTGCCAGTTTTTAAATAAAGGTTTTCATTTAAAAATCATGAATACATCTAATCCAGTGTTTCTCAACCTTAGCAACTTTAAGATAGGTGGACTTCAACTCCCAGATTCCCCCAGCCAGCAT